ACAGCTGTAGCTGTTGAGCTGGAGCTCCACTCAAAACCAAGTGTGTGTCTGTGTGTCATGTGACAGTGATGAATTATCACTGATACAACATAATACAGTTTATTCTCTGAATTCATACATAAGAGGCATCATAAACACTGAGAGACTGAGTGGTCACAGAGTAGAAAATACTTCATGAACTCATGATGTAACTAATTTAACCCAGATTCTACAGTTCAGTCTTGAGATGTTTGTTGAAGGAGTTTACAGAAGTTTCGTGTTTAATATTTATAGACAAGCTGTCCACAGTCTTGGTCCATTATAACAAAAGGTTTCCCTTCAATACTTTATTGTTTCAACTGTTGGTACACTTGATGCTCTGGTGTTTGATGACCTGAAGGCAGGTTAGAGGAGTGTAGAGGGACAGACAATCGACTGAGCGTTATAATAACATTTAAAAGATCTGTTAATCAAACCAATGTAGAAGAAGTGAAGATGTTGAGACTCCTCTGCCTCGTCTCTTCTGGAGGGAGAGGTGTCACTGTTACGTCTGACATGTGGAGATCTGCAGTCTTCATCTGTGTGTCTCATCATATCTTAGAAAGTGATAGAAGATATGATTCTTCATTCAGTCTGAAATATAAAAGCAGTTTAATTCTTTTAAGTCCAGTATTATCCTGATCCTCTTCACCGCTCAAAGACCAATAATCTACTCATCCCTGTTTCCTTCCTGCTCCCTTCATCCTCTACTGTGTGAATCCTCTTGAGGCTGCAGACTGATCAGAACCAACAGAACAACAGTGAACTCCAATAGAAACACTAACACATCCAGGCATTATACAACATTGCGTTTCACCTGTTTTTTTTTTTACAGGATATTTAACAGGATTAGAGCAGAATGAGAGGGTGGAGTCCTTTGATGTCGGGCTGGCATTAGGACATCCACAACCAGAAACAAAAGCTTATGGGTTACAGTAACTCCATCACACAACCAGGACAGAGCAGTGGTGAAATCACACCCACAGGTACAATGATCCTAACCAAAGGGTCACATGGTCACATCCACCCTCCTCCCTCTCTGATTGTGTACTGCACATTAAGGTTCTCCTTGAGGTTCTCCTCGTTGGTACCAAAACTACTTTAGCTAAACCAGACAGTTTCATTCTCAGCTCCAACTCTTCCCTGACGTGTCATGGGTTGCCATGACGGACAATTTATGTTTGAGTTTGGTCATTTCCTATTTTATTTTGTAGTTATTTTCCTTGTGTGTCTCTTGATGTTTTTACTTCCTGTCTTTGTCGCGTTTCCCTCCTTGTTGATTGTCTGCCTGGCCCTAATGTGTTTCACCTGTGTTCAATCACCCTTGCCTCCCTTGTGTCTATTTAGTCTCTGTGCTCCCCTTTGTCTGTTCGTCTGTTGAAACTCCTTGTGTTACCTGTTTAAGTCCCCAGTGTTACTTTGTGCTTCAGCTTGCTGTTCTAGTTCTTTGTGTTACCTCGTGCTTCTGGTTCCTGTTCATGTTCCTTGTGTTTGTTTGTAAGTAAAGTCAGTTTATTCCACCAGCTCCCTTGGGTCTTGGTCTGTATTTGCGTCCAGCCTTACCTTAACTGTGACACCTGATGTCTCTGTCCTCCGTACAGCGTCGCTCAAACACTGATTTAAATATGAAACTGTTTTATTCAGTGTTTGTAACGGTTACAATCACCGGGTCTGTTTGATTTCCTGAACCACTGACACTGAAGGAATCCAAACTGGGTCCGACGGTATTTCATGACGTCACCCAACACCATCTCTTCACCCAGGTTGATTTCAAGACTCTGCTTCTCACTTTCAAGTCACTTCACAACCTAACACCTCCGTACCTCTGAGCTACTCCATACCTGCCCACATTCTTAGATCTTCCTCTTCCATTGTCTCTGTTCCTCCTGCCCCTGTATCCACCATGGGCTTTAGAGCCTTCAGCCATGTGACTTCCACAAGACATCTGTAATATAATCTCACCTCTACTGTGTGTTGTAAGATGTCCTTGAGTGCTTTGAAAGGTGACTATGTCACGTTTTTCTGTCACATTTTGCCATGGCAGACACTTTTTGTTAGTTTTGTTTTGAAATCTTTGCACTTCCTGTTTTATTTTGTATTGGTTTCCTTGTGTGTCTGTGTTTTGCTTCTTGTCTTGGTCTCGTTTCTGTGTAGTAATTGTCTGCCCCGCCCTAATTTGTTTCACCTGTGTTTAATCACCCTTGCCTCCCTTGTCTATATAGTCTTTGTGCTTCCCTTTGTCATTGTCAGATCGTCTGTTGTTTAACTGCTGTAGTTACCTGTTTTTTCCCTGTTGTTTTTTCCTGTTGTCTTGCTGTTTTGCTCATGCCTGTTCATGTCACGTTCATGTCACGTCACGTCACGTTCAAGTCTGGATTTTTGGTCAAATAAACCTCTGTGCACCGATCTCCCATGCGTAAGCTGCATCTGGGTTCAACTTACCGTAACTACCTGACGGCTGACTCAATAAAATGTATTATTATTGCCATTAAAATGCTTTGCTTTTTAGACAGACATCCATCCACCCACAGTAATGATATTAAACTGAGGACGGCTTCATTGGATTTATATTGGATTAGAATGTAGTGGCCTCCTCATGTTTGTGGTTGTGATGGTTTATGATGATCATGTCTTCTTGGTGCTAATGGCAAAGATCTTCCTGTGTGGTTACCCATAAACCACCTGTTTTAAATAATTTTCTTCAGTGTCAGTCTCTCTCTCTCTCAATTCAAAAAGCTTTACCCCCCCGGTCTCTCTCACTCACTCTTTCTGTGCTGCTGTCACTTCCTGTGAACACACACTTGTTGTGTTCGGGGTCTGGGTCTGAAGCCGTCTGACTCATGAGCTCTCGGCGGTGGAGAGAGAGAATGTCACTGCACATTGGGTTGTCTTCATATTACACAAGCACATGCACACACACACACACAGAGCAAACACACATACACACACTCACTGCACACAAGAAAGTACACACAGAGAGCAGAGCAAGCCAAGCAAATCCCAACACACACACACACACACACACACACACACACACACACTCACATTCACAGTGGGCTGAGGCTATTTTTAGCAGCTCGTATGCACCAGAAAACACATGATGACTGTGAATGAATATGTGGCAGATTCTGGTGTGTTGTGATTGGCTGTTGTCAGACAGTGATTGACAGGTGGGAGGGACAGGGTGTTGTCAGAGTGATCTCTCACTCAGACTCTGGGGGCGATTCCTCCTCCTCCCCTTCTTATACTTATGTAACTAATGGAGTCTGTTAGAGTGCAGGTCTGAGACCTGCAAGAGGAAAACCATCAGGATCTGTTCTGGTTCTGAACTGTTCCGGTCTGATTTCTCAGGGTGAACTGCAGTGATGCTCAGCTCTGTCCTTCACTTGGATCTTTTGCTGCATCTTCATTCATCCCATGTAAGAGGCAAGGAGAGAGGAGCACAGCTGGATCAGCTGTCAGATGACTTAAGCACATCTGTAGCACCTGCCCCAGCTGGAGAAGACAGGTCCAAAAAGAAGAGCACCTGAACCACAACCATCACACATCAGATTCTGAAGCAGACCTGGAGGGGACTGTGAACACCAGTCTATATGTAGTTTATTTAACTAATCACTGAGACTGAGCAAATGTGGATTCAGGTCCGAGGAGGCCACTGAAGTTCAGGTTGGTTCTGGTAGAAACCAATTTGTTACATGGAGCATTATCCTGCTGGGATCATCATAAGATGGTGAACTGTGGCCATGAAGGGATGAACATGGTCAGCAAAAATACTCTGAGACTAAACCGAGACATTCAGACCAGGATTGATTGGTATTAAGAAGAAAACTTCCCCCAACCGATCACACCACCACCACCAGCCTGGACTGCTGACACAAAGTCAACATCAACTGCCTCTTGTTGAAGCTGTGTAGCCCATGACTACAGTTGGAGGTGGTCAGGTGCACAGGGGCTTCACAGCTTCAACAAGATGTTTTTCTGGCAGATAACTTCATATGAAACTGTTCCGTCTCTCAAAGTCTGTCACTGCTGCTTAGTTTGTTCATTCTGATTTCTGACAACCAGACGTGAAGCTCTGCTTTTTCTCTCAGATGACTTTTTATTCCTCTGTGTTGGCAACATTCAGAGCCATATTGTTTTCAGGTTTTCAGTCCGTCCGTCCCATTCTGGTGGACACGATATCTCAGTAACGCCTTGAGGGAATTTCTTCAAATTTGTCAGAAATATCCAGTTGGACTTAAGGATTGATTCAATTTTGGGGGTCAAAGGTCCAAGGTCAAAGTCATAGTTAATATGGTTAATATTTTATGACTCTGAATAAACCGGGATGTAACCTGAAACAACTCTGAGTGGAGGAGGCAGACAACCACCAGGAGGTGATTGTAGTTTGTGAATGAAACTTGTCTACAGACAGAACGGAGCAGGTTGCCTCGTGTTGAACCTTGTCATCCTCCGGTGGTTTTCCCAAGTCAAATAGTCTGTGCAGTTTAATCCTCACAGAGGTTTCAGATAAGTTCTTAAAATGTTCTCACGTCAATTTCAGTGATGTCACAACCTATAAAACTAGAAATTGTTTGATTTTCTTGCCTGTGACGTGTGTGTCTGTCCTGTGTTTGTGTGCATTGATGATGTTCACACTGAGCTGGAGGAAAGTTTGAGGGATGTAGTTGCAACAAAAGTTTTTATTGCTACCGTCCAGATTTGTCTCAGTCTTCTGTGACAGAGTGATACTTCCTGTTTCTTTTCATGTCTTTACTGTGGACTATTTAACAGCTGACAGGTGAAATCTTTGACCAGCGTTTAACTGAAAATGAGTGAAAGGAAAAGCAGATTTATAAAAGGATGAACAGGTTTATTTAACTTGTATCTCTGCTAGATGGCATGTGTTTTTATTCAGGTTATTTCTGTGTTGGAGTTAATGTTGAATTTTTCATATTTTTGTCCCATCACTGTTTCAGGATGTGTTGTTTTTCTCTCTGCAGCGATCCATGAGTTCCCTAGAGATTACTTCACCAACCAGGAGCGAGCTGAAGGAGCTGTGGGCCTGCACGTCTTCTTTGTGAGTGACACCTGCAGCACTACACACTCTGTTTGATACAGTCTCTGCATTCCAAGGCAGGTTTCTTCATTTGTGAGGGTTTAAATCAGTTATACTATGTTGGGAAAGAGAAGCAGAGATGATCAGAAACAGCTCTTTAATAAAGCTTTCTTCAGAAAATTTCATATGGTGAACCATTACTGTAAAGCCGTGTGCACGTTGCTCTATTATCTCATAATGTATGTAAACTGTGCACAGATACTACAGCACACACACATATGATGCTCCAGCCTGCAGGTAGACACCAACACTGCTCCTCACCTGTAAACCTGTACATATAAAGTCTCTTCATAGGATGTTTTAAGATGGGTTTTGTTGCTAAACTACATCTAGTGGTCGTAGTAATTATGACAAGAGAAAAGGGAAAAGTGTGGTGACGTAGTAAAAAGAGAGACACAGTCCACAGCAGGAGGAGGTTGTGGTGTATGGATGAATGTGACACAGGAGAGCGGTGTGAAAGTAGCAGTTTATGTTGTTTTTATTATCCATGACCATTTGACAAAGTTAACCATGTTGTTATTATTGTAAGTGTCTTTGCTCAGGGACATATGTACAGATATGTAAAACATAAAACAGGTGATTAATGAGGATCTGACTCTGTTTGCAGCTCAGATGGTCTTCTAATAAATGAAACAGTAAAGACAACACATTACCCTGTCTTATACAAACTGTCTGCAGTCTGTACTGGCAGAGTCTTATGCAGATAACAGTCACAATAATGCTCCTTTAGTAAAACACACTCAGCATTATGACTGTGTAAACACTGACACCCCTCAGCCTGCAGCCTCTACAGTTCATCATGTCACAGTTGGTTATCAGTGAAGAAGTTAGGTGGTCCTGGGAGTACAGTAGACACACTCTGAACTGTGGACAGAGTGAGACCAGCTGTTACCTCAGCCTCAGGTCCTTATGCTGAGCTCAGTTCATCACCTTACAGCTCCAGCTACGTCCTAATGCAGAGACATGAGACTGATTTACATCTGCCCATTCCACTCTGGGAAACTAAGCGAGTCAGAGTACTTCCCATTGTGATACTGCGACATACAGACATGTTTAATCATGCATGTTTAATGTACGGGTGAGTTATACTTAATGAGAGAAAAACAAATGTTTAACTAAGTGTCACATGTGGTGTGTTGGTCAATATGTATGTGTGTGTGTGTGTTGGCCCCCTGCAGGCAGTCTACATGTTCTATGCCCTGGCGCTGGTGTGTGATGACTACTTTGTCCCCTCACTAGAGAAGATCTGTGAGGTAAGACTCCAGACTGCTCTTCTACCGACAGCAACAACTCACAGTGATGATCTGTGATGGAGGTCTGTTATGAACAGCGTCTTTTCATTCTTTCTTTCTTTCTTCCTATCAGCGTCTTCATCTGAGTGAGGATGTTGCAGGAGCGACCTTCATGGCAGCAGGAAGTTCAGCTCCTGAACTGTTCACATCTGTCATTGGTGAGAAACACACACACACACACACACCACACACACACACACACACACACACACACACACACACACACACACACTCACACAACTATTAACCACAAAACAAGTTAAAAGTCACAGAAGTTTCTGTGACAAGACTGAACCTCTGTTATATTGATAATTCTTAATCATTTTAAATATAGAAGAAATGATTTCAAGCTCAAGGCACAGTTTTCCCCTGACTTTTTGCATCAGTTAGCTTCATTATCAGATCCTCAGTCAGCTGCTTACAGGAGCCCATGGTTTGTTGAGTCGTTGTTGTAACTGCTAACTGATTATCACTCCACTACCATGAGCAGGGATACCACTGTGGATTAGTTGGCTCTCTGTTACACTGCAGAACCATGTCACAGTCGCCAAAAACAGTCAACAGTTGGTTGGTAATATGTGGAGCTCAGTTACCGTGTCTCTGCTCCACAGGAGTGTTCATCACTAAAGGTGATGTCGGGGTCGGCACCATTGTGGGCTCAGCCGTCTTCAACATCCTCTGCATCATTGGAGTGTGTGGGATATTCACTGTACAGGTGCAGTCCACAACACACACACACACACACACACACACACACACACACACACACACACACACACACACACACACACACACACATACACACGCA